TGTGATTACCTATTTTTTAATTTTCAGACATGGTCTAAGTTTCCCAGGCTGAGCTTGAACTTGACATCCTCCTGCCTCAGCCTCCCAGAGTGCTGGGATTACAGGTGTGTGCCATCATGCCCAGCCCTTTGCATATTTTTTAAAAGTTCATTATTTTTGAGGTTCTCTGAGCTTCTTAGAGCTCTGGCTTTATCATTTTCATCAAAAACTTTTAAAATTGGCTATAATCTCTTTAAATTTATTTATCTTTCTCCACCTTCCTCATCTTTAGGGACTCCAATTACATAACTGCTACTTCTCTTAATATTGTGATATGGGTCATTGTTAATTTCTTTCAGATTTTTACTTCTTTCTTTGCTTCTTATTAGGTAGTTCTTATTGCTATGTCTTCAAGTTTCTTTTCTTTTGCAGCATCTCATTTTCTCTTAATCTTAGACGTGATTTATTTTTCATTCTAGGTATTATACTTTTCACCTCTAGATGTTCCTTTTCATTCTTTTTATATTTTCCATTTTTCTCATTTAGTTCAAATCTTCTTTAATCCATGGACATTAATTGTAACCTTTTCTAATATCTGTTTTAAGGTCCTTGTCAGTTTTTAAATTTTAAAGGCAGGGTCTCAATGTACAGTTCAGGCTGGCCTTGAACTCACTATGTTGCCCAGGCTGGCCTTGAACTCATGGCCATCCTCTGGCCTCAGCCTCCCAAGTCCTGGGATTACAGGCATGTGCCACTACCCCTGGCTTGTCAGTTCTATGCCATTTCTGAGTCTGTTTATATTGATGAATTCTTCTCTTGTTATAGGTTACTTTCCTCACTCTCAATGTCTTGTACTTTTAAAATAAGATGCTAGATACAGATGTTATGTTGTTGTTGAGTTCTGGGTCTACTGTCTTCTTTTAAACACGATTGAAGTTGGTTTTGACAAGAGGTTAAATTTCTTGCACATCAAGCCAATACTTTCAAGTCTTTTAGAATCTTAAAAGTTTGTTTAAAACTTTTTATTGAGGTTTAACATAATGCAATCACAACTTAAAAAATTATGACCAACTTGAATTCTTCACCATGTAATTGGCACTCATCAAAATCCAGCACATTTCTGGCATTCCTAAAGGCCTCTCTTCTGCTTCTCAAGGCTTGATTTTATGTTTGTTAGGGGAGAGATAAAATAACCTTCACAGCTAACTTATACCTACTAGTAAGTCATAACCTCTTGGGGTCTTCAGTGATTGTCCTCAGTGATCAACCAGGGTCTCTAGCCTGGCTGGTCAGAATCTGAGTGATTCCTAGGTTGGTGTGAGCTTTGGGAACTGACCATCTTATAGATTCTTATCAGGAGTCTGATGCTCACATTGGCAGATTAGTCTTCAGCAGGTTGACCAGGTCAGACTTCTGGTGCTCTTTTGCCGAGTACTCTTATCTGGTATTCTCATCCATAAACTTAAACCATTTTTCTCTCAAAATCATATCTCTAACCTTTCTACTCAGCAAGACTATTTCTTTGCTTTGCTGGAGACCCTCTTCTGGTGCCAGTGTCTGGAAAATAACTCAAGGCAGAGAGCCAAAGGAATAGTAGGTCTCATCTCACCTGTTTCCTCTTATCAAGAGATCATACCCCTGGATTGCTTGTTATCCAATCTGTGAAAACAGTTCTTTTCATATTTGACCAGAGTTTTAATAGTTAACGGGGGAAGGTTAATCTAGTTCCAGTTATTAAATCATGGTCAGAAGTAAAACCAAGGCTTCTTTTAATAAAATTTCTAGCATGGATACCATGTTTTGCAAGATTTCATCTACCGGGGTAACCTAACCCATATGTGCCTCCTGTCCTTCCATCTATCTATTCAGTGGTTGCTAGATCACTGGGAAACAACGATGAATAAATGGTTCCTATCCTCAAGAACTCACAAGTAGGAAAGCCAGAAATGGGTAATAAATGATCCAAAGAGAAAGATATGGTTAAATCTACTTGGAGAGGTCAAGGGAAGGTTTTATGGCATAATGTTTAAAGAAGGACTTGAAGAATGAGATTACCATATGGGGTGGGACACTGGGGCAATCTCGGTATGCAAAGTATGAAGTTAGGACACAATGTGTAAGTTTGGAAAAAGTACTAACAGTTCCAAATACCTACAATGTTGAGTTAGAAGCAGGGAGGGGACAGAGCTAAAACTATGAAAAACAGTCAAACAAAAAACCCAGGAGGGAATATTACGAAGGGGGACTTTGCCATGGCCATCACCATTGACATCCATACCACATCATCACCTGCCATTTAGAGTACTCACAGGACATATGTTTAAAATATCTTATAGGCATTACACTGAATCCTTACAATTTTGCCCCAAATCACGTGATAGTAAGTGAAGAAATGAGAATTTGTCTGTCGGATTCCAAAGCTAATAAAGGGCCAGGGATTTAGCTCAGTGGTTTCACCCCTGCCTAGCAAGCTCAAGGACCCAAGTTCGATCCCCGGTACCAAAAAAAAAAAAAAAAAAAAAAATCCAAAGCTAATAAAATAAACTTGCTTTGAATCTACAAACAATGGGGAGCTATGGAAGTATTTTTTGTCTTTAGAGGATTTTTTAGATTCATTAATGGAGCAGTTGTAAGTAGGAAGGAAATGCAGTTTATTATTATTTTTTAAAGGTCACTCTGGTATATGAAGAAGGACTGGAGGGAAAAGGCTGGGTCAGATGAACCAGTCTGGAGGCTTCTGAAATAGTGCAGGAAGGAAATAAGGGCTTGGAGTAGGTGGCGCTTAGGAGGGATGGAGAAGAGGATGTGGACTAGCAAAATGTTTAAGAAGTAGAATCTTTCAGCAGCTCTGGCAAAAGAACAGATTTTAAGGTCAACTGTGGACCAGGTGATACACTCAACTTACTAGGTCCTGTGACAAATGCAGGGGACACAAAGATGAGCAGGACGGGATTTTTCCTCTTGAGAACCTGTAACTCATGCAGCATTACAGAATCAATTCTCTGAATTTACTGAAATACAGTAGTATGTTATGATCACATTCCCTCCCCATTACTATGGTTGAGGCAAGGGCCAAATGCAGAAATCACTGCTCTAGAATGTTCTCAAACACTCCTACAAGCCAGTGTGCATGTAGGAGGTCCCATTTGCCCAGGCTGAGACTCTCAGGACATGGAGGGTATTAATGGTCCCCTGACCTTGTCTGTCATTATCAACAACAATTTTGTGAAAAACAAACACAAAGGCAGGTATCTTTATTGAACACTGACAACACTTGAGTACTGTGCCAAGCACTGGATGGACATTGTCACAATAATCTTAAGAACAGTCCTAGCACTCCTCTTCTTTTTCCCAGTACTGGGGATCAAACTCAGGACCTTGTGCTTGCAAGGCAGCCATGGTGCCACTAAGCTAAATCTCCGGGCCCCTAGCACTCCTGTTTTAAAGTGAGAAACCAAGGCTCTGAGAGGAAAAATAACTGGTCCATGTTACTGTTTCCCCACAAATGCCTCGTTATTATCTAGAAGGTATCTTGGATTTTACCATCTTCAGGAAGTCACCACTGTCTGTCTCCAAACTTTGTTACTCTCTCTCCTGGGCCCTCCTGTGCATGATTCCCATTCCTCCTTTGTGATCCCTATTATGCTACGCTGTGAGATATGTGTAATGCGCCTGTTTCCCCCATTGGATTGTCCTCTGTGAAGATCTGCCTCTTTGCTGCTCAGTACCAGCACAGAGTCAGAGCACTGCACTCCATCCTTGCTTCTGAGCTGCCATCACTTACCCCAGGCCGCCTCAGGGCCATCAGCCATTCTTTGAACCTCAGGTACCTCAGGTTCATGTCCAGTTGCAAAGTACCCACCAGAGATACCTATGACTTCCAGAGGAACTTGTCCACACAAAGGGAACAGGGGAGGAAACCTCACAAATTGTGGCCTGCAGGCCCCGAGATGCTGACCATGTGCCTGGATCTGATTTGTTGCCCTCATCCCTGTATGGCACTCTGATTTTTCCTATGTTTTCTGTTGTTTCATGCTTAGAGAGAGGCAGTGTACAGAGGGTAGAGGCACCACAGTCTTTGGTGCCATGCAGACTGGGGTTCTAATCTCAGCACTTTTTTGTGGCAAGGCATGCACTTTCTGAGTCCTTTTCTCCCTATAAAAAGGAGAGAATCCTGACTCCATAGGGCAACGATGCTCATCAAGGGAGACCCTGGGTGCAGGAGGCATCTAGCAGGTGGTGAGGCAAGGGCTCCGTATAGCCAAGAGTTGTCTCCACTTCCCTCCATGGGCACTATGGGAGTGAGGAAGAGACCCAAGAGTGGCATGAAGAGTAAATGAGAGGTCCAGGACAAGGTTTGGCTCTGTGCCTAATGCTAAAAAGTCTATGTAATATTTTAGATCTAGAATGTCACCCAAAAGCCTCATGTGTTCAGAGGCCGGGCTTCGGAAGGTGATTGGATCAGATCCTGGGGGTGCTATACTCATCAGTAAATTAATCCACTGAAGAATTCAGAGCTGAATATGCCATGAGGAGGTGGGATCTGGTCAGAAGGGGTGGATCACAGGGTGTGTGACCTGGAAGGTACATCTCCGCCCCTGGGTCCTCCCTCTCTGTTTCCTGGCCACCATAATGTGAGCAACTTTTCTCTACCCAGGCCCTTCCACCATGTCATTTCTGCCTTGGAGCCAGCCAACATGAGCCAAGATAAATCTCTCCTCTTTTAAATTATAGGTGTTGGGTATTGTGTCTCAGTGACAGCAAAGCGACTAAAGAGTCAATGATGGCAGTAACTGCTTAATGATATTAAAAAGGAAACATCTTTATAGTGAAAGAGGAGACCACCCCTCCATGTGGAATTGGACAACCATGAGTTAACTGTGTTATTAGGCAACTATGGGTTAACTATGTTATTAGGCAACTATGGGTTAACTAGGTAACTATGCTCGTTGTAGAATGTAACTGAGTAGCTATGACAACTTCTATAATCTGTCACCAAAGGAGTGTGATGGACTCAGAAAGTCCTGCCAGAACTCTTTGCTCTCCCCCTTCCACTGGCCTGCTTTGTGTAAATCCTGCTTGCTATATTCCCAGGGAAACTCCAATGGAATTAAGCTTCACAGATGTAAAAAGAAGTATATAAAGAAGTACAAAGTTTTATTTGGAGCTCTTGAGACTGACAGGAGTCACTCGCTGAACCGCTGGTCTCATTAAAAGCCATTTTTTGCTCCTATCTTCATGTTAAAGAGTTATCTGTGCGGGGGTCCTCACTGTTTCCTGCTTCAATAGCACCCAAACAACTTGCTCAAATCTCACAGCAAGGTAAGAGGAGAGAAGTCAGAGATCTTGCTGCAAACCATTTATCAATGGACAGTAAACTCTTCAGAATAGCACAGTGCTGCTGGGGGCTCCTGGCAGTAACAGAGCACTACTGTCCACTAGGTCAAACATTTTCCCTACCAGACCCCACTCAAGCCCCATATTAGCATAGATGGCCGACAACAACATGAACTTTATGGATCTTCTCACCCACAGATCCACAGAGGGCAAACCAGAACACCAAGAACACCCAGTTACTTTAAGCTCAGAAGAATCTACATTCTGTCTAGATCTGAGGTAATTAACAAAGAGAGTCAGGGGACATGCAGCCATATTCAGGGCACTGGCAGCAGATACCTGCTGTGGAGCAAAATGGCCAGGCTCCGCGATGGTCCAGGTACAAATGTCAGTTTAAAATATCCCACCATACTCACCCTGAAAACTCTCTCCCCTGCCTCTGGGTGTCACTCAGGGGATGCTGCCCCATTTTCAAGCTGGGAAGGGGTGGTGACCCAAGCCCTCAGGCTCCCTAGACTCTGGGGCCACTTTACAGGCTTCCAGATTAAAATTACCAGAGAAAAACAAGACTTGAAAAATAAACTACCTCCTAACTTTCTACACGGAGACTTTCTAACACTGAGAGAAACAAACCACAGATCTTAGGCCATAGGAAAACCACAGCTGTCTCCCCTCTTACTCCACCCCAAAAGTCATGCTTGTTTCTATGATTTAAACACACAGGAGTCAGAACTTCAAGAGCTCGGTACTTACCACATCATTTGGGAGGCTCTGGAGGTCATCAAAGGGAGTTTCCAGGGTGTTGGTGTCCACGTTCAGGATCACAACATCATCCAGGGCCATGTTTCTGACTTTCTGCAAGTCAACAAAGTCCAGAAGAGAAAGTCATCCAAACATCATTAAGACACAAAGGTATGTTCCTTTGCCTTTCTCAAGAGAAAGGAAATAGGGAAGAAAGTGACATTTGACAAAACCTTATTTTATGGCAGTCTCGATGCTAGGTGGTTCACATTTGCTGCTCATTTAACTCCCACAAAAACTCTTTTAAGCTTGCATGATCACCCCTCAAGTCCCAGGAATGAAATTACATTTCACAGGGGCTAAGTAACACAGCTAGGAAGTAAGAGAGATCTTACGCCCATCACTGTCTTTTTTTCCTGTTTTTCTTTTCTTTCCTCTTCCCCAGGAATTCTAACATACAGGAGGCTCCTATGACACACTCAACCCACTCCTCTCATTTACCAAAGGCTACCTGCCAATCTCCCTTTTGTATCTCATCAACCTGGGGTATGGAATATGGGCGTATGGCCTACTGCAAATGTATTAACATTTCCTTTGAACATTAAGTAGGAAGGTCACACTTTCAGTCTGGTTGCATTTTCCATAGAAACCCAGCTAGTAATGGCTCTGGCCATGAGCCACTTTTCTGTTGGTACAGTAACAAAAAGGATGAGGGAGACTCAGTCTTTGAGGTACCTGTGTGTGGCAGAGGAGGGGAAAAGAAGGGATACTATGGGCCCCCCTATTTGGCAGCAGCTTTCCAAAGTCTGTATCACAAGACAGTGCTGGGGATTTAGCTCAGTGGTTCCAGTGCCTGCCTTGCAAGCACAAGGTCCCAAGTTCGAGCCCCAGTACAAAAAAAAAAAAAAAGACAGTGTATAGCTTGAGATTTTAATGTTCAATCCCATGGTTCATCCACTGTCAGAATCCACATTCATTTTTCTCCCACCTTTCTGCCTCCCCTGATCCCATTCAATCCTTCTCTCTCCCATCATTCATCAAACTTGGTCCTTGCAGGTATTTTATTTTAGAATTGTTCTCTTTGGTTTATTTTGCCCTTTCTAAGTGGAAAGATCCTGTCATTTGTTATCCAAACTGAGAAACTTGTGGTAGTGGAAGAAGACATATTACACCAAGATAATAAGCACAAAATGGACATATAGTCATCCTATACAGAAGGGACTGATTTCATTATTAGTTACCCCTTAACACACTGCATGTGAATGTGCAGCTTGTATTTCTGCCCAAAGATGCTGACCAGCAAAGTCTGGGCTGAAATCTGCCTATCCACGTGCCTTCTGGGAAGCATCAGTTGAGGTGGGGTGGAAGATGCCTTTACCTAATAACACCCAAGAATGCCTACGGGGCAGTAATGGAGCTAGGCATCTGATGGCTGTGAAAGTCCACATTCGCCAAGGCCCTGGAAATGGATAATTACAATGTACTGGAAGTCTGTAAGTTTCTGCACTGTGCTTTACTTATTTTATCTTTAATTCTTATCCTACCCTGCAAAGTTGACATCTTATTTTGATTACCACCTGAGGAGGTAAGGTAACTGGCCATCTCCACAGCTCACTCTGTGCATGGTACCATTTATCATCAGACACCCTCAGTGAGACTCACCTCAGCATGCTTTGTCTAGTCCCAGCACCCTTTTGCCTGTGTGCCCCTCTGCTGGGGTATGAGTCCCTTCTGGGGTCATCTGTCTGGCTCACCACTGCATAATAACCAGTGCCTCGCTAGGCGTGGTGGTGCATGCCTACAATCCCAGCAATTGGGAGGGTGAGGCAGAAGGATCACTGTGAGTTTGAGACCAGTCTGGGCTAAAAGTGAGTTCAAGGCCAGCATGAACTATAGTGAACCCTCGAATTATGACTCGTCTGACATATGAACAACTTGGGTTATGATGACTGGTATTTTAGTTTTAACTTATGACCAAAGTCTTGAGTTATGACCTGAATATTGGCCGCTTGTGCTTCCAGATGGTCTCAGATACAGATTTAACCCTTAAAGAGTTCTGGAAGGAACATTACAACATCCTTTCCTGTGTGGGGTTAATTGAGAACTCCTGGGCCAATGCCTCTCTCAGGATGCTGAGATCTGCCTGTACACAGGAGAAAGACCTTGAAGGCTGTGTAGAGGAGCCTGAGCCTTCAATTGACCAACTTGAGTCACAACCAGCCCTCTCGAATGAATTGAGTTTGTAACTCAAGGGTCCACTGTACATAGAAAGACCCTGTTTCAAAAAGCCAAAACCCAGTGCCTGACAAAATGATCAGTACTTGGCAAGTGTTTGCTGACACTGGCTGATGTTCAAACTTCAGTCTCTAGAACTTGGTACCAAATTAACATGTCAAGATTCTTCCCAGCAAAAGGGTAGAACCATGTTGGTCAGAAGCCTCCTAGAGTTGAAAACCTCTTCCAGCAGAATTCTGGAGCCATTCCACTTAGGACCAGATATTCAAACTGCTTCTGCTACTGACTTAAGGCACTGGGGCCAGTCAGAAACCCATCCATCAGCTCAAAAACATTACGGGCTCACCATGAGCTGAGAACCAGAGGAAAGATCTGATTGCTGTCTGACAAGTTCATTTTCCTCCTCAAACCCCTACTCCGGTATTAATTGCTGCCTTATTTATAGGGTAAATGGCTATCAGCAATGGTGAAGGAGTTGGTAATAAATACCAAGTGTTGTACAGTACTTTTGTCTTACAAAGCACAATTCCCATTTTACAGTGGAGAACTTTAAGACTAGTAGGGGATCCTCCCATCTCCTTAGTTGCTTCACTCTATAGTTCAGCAGGTAAATTCTTTGTACTGTGTCTGGGCTCTGAATAAACATCACGAACAGCATGGACAACCATGTATGTCTCATTTCAGAGCTCACAAAGTACAGCCATACAGACTTTTAAATTTATACCAGTGGAGCTGGAGGTGAGGTATCACCATTCTCATTTCAGAGATGAGAAACTGAGGTTCCAAGCAGTGAAACAGTTTGTCCAAGGCTGTGTGTCTACTAATTGGCTTCTTAACCTGTGAAATTGGAATAGTGTGACCATTCTCTTTCTCCCACTTCCCTTAGCCTGCCGGGAAGATAAGGGAACTTAATAAATAGTGGCTATTCTTATTACTTTTAATACACACAATAGCTACAGCCAGTTAGAAGAACCTCAGTGGCAGTGCCTGCGAGCAGAAATCTTGCTGGTCCCTTGGTGGTAACTGCTTGGCTCTCATTTCGAAGGCTGAGGACAGTCACAGGAAGCAGAATCAAAGCCAGCCTCGAGGATGGAGCTAAAGACTGCTGCACCCCAGCATCACCTACTTTGCCTCATTTGACCTTCCAAACAGAAGAGGGCAGGAGGCCATGGCCACTGGAGAGAAGCCTCAGGGCTGAAAGCCCCCATGAGTGGATGTTGATTCTGAACCAGAATTCAGCCTTGTTTCTGCATCCCCAGCACACAGACCAGGCCTTGTGGGCGCTCCATGGCTGGGCTAGAACAGGCTTTTGATTTCTTACCACTCCTGGCTGGAGGACTTGCCGGTTAAGCTGTGTGGAGTGTTTACTTTTTCAACAATGGCAGCAGGCTGAAGAAGAGGAAAAAACCTGGCCCTTTCTGACTTAGCAGGCCAGGGTCCCCTTAGTAAACAAAATGCCCTTAGCACCAGGCTCCAGGCAGGAGCTGGGTCAGCACAGTTTCCTCTTGTAGGATAATGCTGCCCTCCCGATGCCAAGGCCTCTTCCAAAGGGGCTGGCACAGGCTCAAGGGCCTTCCTGTAGCTCAGTGTTCCCAAGGAAAAAATTGGAGGCCAGCTTGGCCGGATGGTGCCCTATCCCTGAAAGGCTCAAGGAAACAAGGAGAATGAAGAAAGGCAAGAAAAACTCACACTTGGGCTGCAGGGTTGGAAGTGCCAGTGAAGAAGGAAGTTGGACAATTACTGGGTGCCATCTCATTTAATCTTAACTAGACATGAGGGAGATACTAGCATATGGTAAAGATGTGAAAATGGAGGCTCAGGGAGGTTAACAAACTGCTCAAAGCCACACAGCTAGTGAGTGGCAGCAGAGCTGGCTTTTGAACACAGTCTGAAGACATCACAAATCCATGTTCTCATGTGTGGAGTGCATGTGTGGTGCATGCAGTCATTCCAATGTCCTCACAGCCTGCTTTCCCTTATATACAACCACATTTGCTTTTTGTACCATAAGCATTATATGCCTACTTATAGAGAAATAACAAAGAAAAGTTCAAAAAGGAAAATTAATGTTACCCCACTCCCTCCATTTGGAGAATACATCTGCATGTATTTCCTTCTATGGTCTTCCTTTCCTACACTTCAAAACACAGTTAAAGTCATTCTTAATGCTTCTTTTTGATTTTCTCACTGATTACAATATAGGTAATGCTCCATGTTATTAAAAGCTTTGCAAAGATCATTATTAATTGCTACAGTGTATTGTACTACATGGAAACAAACTCAACGAATCCCCTTTCATTAAGTATTCTCAGGTTTTAAGAAATTATTAAATATAATATTGTCACGAAATGTGTAGGCATCAAGCTTTGTGCTTTAGGATGGATTCCTAGAAGTGGAATTTAATTTCCACTTCTTAAAGTGTCCCTCTCAAATTCAACTTTGAGAGAGAGATATCTTTACTTCCAATTATTTTAAAGTCATTTTATCCACAGCTTGTGTTTCCTACTCTAAGTGAAGAAAAATCAGCAAAGACACGAGCAGATGTCAAAATAGTCCTCCAAAAATCCTACCCAATTAAAACACTTACTAGTACCGCAGCACACCGAGACAGCTCTCCGGTAGCTTGTCCCACCAACACATTCCCTCTCTTTTTAGTTACAACATATGCCAAAGCTCCTGCCAGCTGCAAACCCTTCCCCCACCAGACTCTATAGGCTTTTTCTCAGAATTAAAAAAAAAAAAATAACTGACATGCACACCGGCTTTCCAAATGGCATTTCTTACACAGAGAAACACACAAAAATGGCTTCTTCCCATCAATATTGTTAATAAAAAGTCTCTCCCTATACATGCTTTGTCACAGACAATCTTAGCTTGACCTAATCTTTCAGCCCAGAAAAGGGACAACTCATAGTATGGGAGGTGCTTAGGGTAGGTGAGGACTCTAGTTCTAATGTAAGAGTCATCTTGGCTTGCCCTTACCAGGTGGATGGCTTTAGGCAATGTACCAATCTTATAAGTCCTCTAGGTTTTCATCTGTGAAACGGGAATTGATTATAGTATCCTCCTCACAAAGTTGTGAGGTTTGGGTAAGGGAATGCATGTAAAAGATTCAGTGTGATCCCAGAACACCCATAATTACTCAAGGAATGGTGGCGCTCTCTCTCTCTCTCTCTCTCTCTCTCTCTCTCTCTCGCCTGTCTGTCCCTTCTTCTCTGACTTCCTAGACTCAGTCCCTGGGGCTTACTTCACTCCAGAGAGGCAGACGTAGTGAGTCTTCCCTGACCTACGTTTTACAGTGGCTCACTCACACAACTAGAACAACTTGTCCATCTATCTGCAGGTACTTATGTAGGTATCCAATTCTTTCACTAGTCCCTGGGCTTCTTGGGGGTCAAGGAGCTAGATCTTTGTACTTTTAGCTCTTACCCCAGTATTTGGTCCAGAGCAGGCAATGAACAGCAGCAGAGCCCAGAAGTAAAGAGCATATATGGAGAAGCCATCCATCTGAATTTTAGTTAATCTCTACCACTCACCAGTTGTGCCAACTTGGGCAAGTCACATAATCTTTCTATGCCTTACTTTCCTATAAATGTGAGGTTTCTGTGAGAATCACTCTACGTTGGGTTTCCCTTCTGGCTAAGATTTTTATACAGCTTTATTTTCTAAAATTGGTTGCATGAAAACAATGGCGTTTTCTTCTTATAATATAAATTAGTATCAGTTACGCTCATTCAAATTACCCACGCCCCTCAGATGGGGCCATTCTGCCTGTCCAGGGCAGGGATTGGGCAGCTAGTGACAAAGGGCAGGACTCACAGCCAGGCTATAAAATGAAGGGCAGGGGTTGCCCTGGCACTGTGATTCAGAGGCCTGGAAGAGTGCTGGGATGCAGGGTAATACAGGACTGGGCAGCTGGATGCTGAGGAGCCATGGCCTGGCTCATGTGTGCCTTTTCCAGTAGTCTCTGCGGCCGAGGACAGTGGTCCCTAATGAGGATGGAGGTTCTGGGGTCAGTGAGGTGACATGCATGGGATGAATGAGCTGGCACCCACTGCATCTTTATTGCCGTTCTTACACCAGGGCCACCCTCAGGGTCTCCAGGGCCCAGCACAGAGGCTGACACAAGGCACGCGCTCATTAACTGGAGAGTGAGCCGGGCTGGATCCACTCTACTGGGAGGCTGGCCTTGCAGCAGATGTCAGCGTCAGCCTGGACGGACAACGGGAGTCCAAAGTAAGCAAACCAGAGTCTGCTCAAGGAAGTGCTATGGGAATAACAATAATGATGGCAATGATAATAATCATGTAAAATTAGCATGATTAATTAGTGTAGAATTAATTCACAGTGGACATGAGCCATTAATGTGGTGATTAAGACTGTGGGTTCTGGAATAAGACAGCCAGACTCAAGCCTTGCCTCTGCACTATGTAACCTCTAGCAGTTCTTCCTTCTGCACCTCAGTTTTCTTACCTACAAAATGGGGACAATGCTGCATAGCTGTTTGTGAGGATTTAGAGACGTGATATGTGTGTGAAGAATTTACACAACTCCTGATTACACTACGTAATCAATAAATTTTATACTACCTTCAACCTACTATTCTTTTCCTGGTTATGTCTTTTTTTTTTTTTTTTGGTACTGGGGATCGAACTCGGGTCCTTGCGCTTGCACAGCAGGTGGCGAAACCACTGAGCTAAATCCCTGGCCCTCCTGGTTGTCTTATATGAGCACATTCTTTGGAGCGATGTTGCCTGAGCCTGAATCCCAACTTAGCCTCAAAGGCAAATCACTAAGCCTCTCTGTGGCCTCAGTTTCCTTATGCATAACGAGATGAAAACAACACTGACATCCAGTAGCCTCAAGTTGGAGGGAAAATGACTAGAATGGGGCAAAGGAAGTTTTCTGGGGGGACTGGTAATATTTTGTTTCTTGAGCTGGATGGTGGTTACATGGGTGTAATCTCAATAAATCTCACATTTCATACTACAAAAGTAAATAATACAGAACTTATTGGCTTGTTTTGGAAATTAAATGAATAGAGTATATAATAGTGTATATAATTGTGTCTTGTATATAATTAGCACAAGGTATTAGCTATTATAATTATGAAGTTAATATAGCAACAATTCTACTAATAAAAATGATTCCATCTAGATTATACTTTATTGTCAGAAAATGTGTTTGTAATAGTAGATACTTGCAGGTCACATACTGCTTCTTCAGTCTGTCCTGTTTCCCTCTAGTGAGGAGCAAGGCAGAACATTATCAAGGATCTTCTGAGATACTTTGTGTCTGGGTCCCCTTGCTGTGAGACAGCAGTGGGACTGAGGAGCAGCAGCAGAACTCAAGAGAGGATAGGTTTCATCTTCTTAAGTCCTAGTTACCAGACTCAGGAAAAGTTATTTATATTTAGTTGAGTCTCAGTTTTCTCATCTATCAAATGAGTCTATAACTCTTTCCTAAAGAGAGTTGTGAGAGGATTAAGTAAAAAGGAAGATGAACAGAAACATTTGTTTGGCATCTAATGGCATGTTCCCATCTATCAAGGGTGCTGGTGTGGACCACAGGTGGGGCTTCTCCCTATGGAGTCACATCTGGAAGCCAGCAAGCATAATCTATTCTCTTACAGCCAGCATGGTGCCAAACCAGCAACAGGATCACCAAGCAAAGGGGAGGGGTCTGGGCCCTTTCTTTGAGAAGGCATGGCCTGCCCTTGAATCAGAGCATGCTCATGCCCACAGAGTGTGATCTGGTTCAAAGAAAGTCTAGTCTAAGTTCATCCCCTGTGAAAGGCATAACTGCTGTGGCTCCTGATAAAATGCCAAGTGTCCTCCCCAGTATGACTGCTTTCTAGCAGCCTTTTTGTTTATTTGTGTCTTTTTTTTTTTCAGACATGTAAAGAATCCAGTTAGAATTAACGCAAAAAATTACACCTAAATAGTTTATTAACAAAAACCTTAGACTGAATGACTGCTGCTGGATTCATGCAGTTGCTTCTTGCACTAACTGAACTCTTAGGTTTCCAGAAGGCCCAAACTGCAGCTGACTTTGCAGAGGCCTCCTGGTGCCAGGAGTTCTACAGCCTCCCACTGAACCCACAACAGCCACTAGTTGCTGTGTTTTTCCCGACCATTAGCATGTATCATTTATCCTATCCTCACCATAGCCCTGTAGACAAAGAGGGACACTGAAGGTCAGAGAAGTAAAACAATTGTCCAAAGTCACCTGGCTAAGCAGCAGTGGATAAACATGGAGCCCAGCTGAATAGCAATTCCTCTGTATTTCCATTACATTATTTGTTCTTACTCACTGTTTCAATTATTAAATATAACAGTCTTCTGTCAGGCACATACTCGATGAATCAAGCCCTGTAGCAGTTTGATGCCTGGCTCAGACTCCATTAAAATTCCCAAGGAAAAGAGGGTTTCCATCAGAATATCACACCCATTTGATGGATGAGGAAACTGAGGCTAAAAATTAAATCATCTATCCATATTGTTAGAACTGGTATGTGTCAGAGAAAGGATCTGAATCTGGGTTGCATGAGCCAGTGTTCTTCCCAACATACAGTACATATAAAATGTGCTCAAATGCATGCGCATACATATGAGTATATAACAAAGAACAGCTTGGGGAGATGGTGGCCTCCTTGGAGAAAGGAAAAAGAAATCAGAGGGAGGGTGGAAAGGATGGAAAGAAGAAAGGCAAGCATTCAGGGATTCTAAACTCTTTATTCCCTCCTGAAATCTTGGGTACATACAGACGAAGGGTGACATTTTCCTTCCCTTCCTCAGGCCCCAAAGGTCACTAAGCTGCCAAGCAGTTGATAAACGTAGTGGCTTTTTTAGGAGTCAGGAGTCACTGATTTGCTCCTTCCTGCTTCACAAAATTAAAAATCTAAACCCGACAGTTCAGAGGAACCCTGAGAATACCTCTGGAATTTCCCAGTGTGCTTTAAACAGAAACAGAAGCTTGGCAGGGGAGGGAAGTGGGGTATGTGCCTCCCAGGCCAGGCCAAATTCACTCCCCACAAGGTAATAAGCACTGATGCTCACTAACACGTCTGATCCTCAAGCCAGACCAGCAGCACCCTTTTTCTCCAATGTCTCCTTTTCTGAGGAGCCATCCAGCAGGTACTCATTCATTCAGCTGCTGGTCACTCATTCATCAGTCAGTCACTCATGTCAACTTCAGGCTACATCTTAGGGTCACAGGGATGATTAAACCATGGTCTCTGAGGTCAAGGAACATACCAACCTCCTTGTGGATGGGGTGAAGATAAACCTGAGAAAGGGCACAGGGATATGTAGCACAAGATACCTCACTCCACCACCAGAGCATCTCCAATCACACAGAGCACCTCCATGCACATGAAGCACCCTCCACACACACAGTGTACCTCCAGACACAGATACTACTTAATGCCCTTTCTGGGATAGTCCTGGACCCAGGGCCTGATGATTGCAAGGTTGGGATTCTGGCTTTTCATTTTCTAATTAAGTAGCTTCAGGCAAGGGTCTGAGTGACCTTTAGCATTGGTTTTTATCTCTAAGGTTAGATAGTGGTCATGATCCTTCCCTTTAGGATTGTTGAAAAGACCAGAGAAGACACTAGAGTGCATGTTTCCTTGTGAGCTGACCATCGGGTCGAGGCTCCCTCTGTGAGCTGGGTTCCACCAGTATTCCTGGTGGTGCCCTCTACAAGTCTACCCAACACAGCGCCTCCATCCAGCTGGGGTGATGGTTGATCCCTTTCGTGCCTCTGACTCTGCCAATGTTTTTCCTCAAACTGTAAATGGCTGCTTACTGCTGGAGACTCAGTGTCCAGCACCACCCCTTTTGCCAGTGCAGCAAAGCACAGAAGGGTTGAGATGGCAGAGCACTCTGGAGACGTGAAGCATGACACAGACGGGGCTTTCCATGAGTCCTCTGGCCTGCCACCTTCCCTTCTCCTCTAGAAAACTTCCCTGACTACTCTTGCTCTGGTGACAAAGAGCCATCTCTGAGTCCCAAGCCAAATTCAATAGATATGGTATGGCAGCCCTTAGTTAAACCTGTTCAGTGATATTTTCCATCATTATATGAGTGCCAGCACTTTCTACTCAAAAGAACTGCCTTGACCCACTGTTTTCACATACACTGCAGTAATACTACTGCCACCTGTAAAGCACTATAGGGTTTTAAAACATCGTATTTTAAAATATAGTATTTAAAATTCTCAAAACAACCTCATAGAGTATGCATCATTATTCACATTTTAAAGAAGTAAAAACTGAAGCTGCAAGAGGCAAAGTAACTTGCCTCAGATCCTAAAGTAGAACAAAGCTTAGAACTCTTCTACTCCAAAGCCTGGGGCCCTTCTCTTCTCTGTGTAGCAGCACAGAACTGGTGTTGTACATGTGTATTTTGTGACCTCTATGGGCAGACTTAGCGAAATACATAATAGTAAGCAGACCCTCAAAGAAAGGCCTGTATATTTTTCCATTTGTGGACACTAAAATACTTCACACAGTAAAATAACTGGGCATGAAGCATGGTCCTGGTAATTATTAGCTGTAGGACTTTGGACCAGCCCCTTAACCTCTCTGTGCCTAAATTTCATCAGCTGAAGAACAGGGCCACCACTACCAGAGCACCAACTTGTGAAAGTTAAACAATGAATGTAAAGCACTTACTTCAAAATTGTATCCATCCAATTGGAAACAATGGGACCTCCATTTAAGAGCTTCACTGGGAGTTCAAGGGGATGTGGATTCCCTAGCCCAGAATGGTTTGGGGTCACCCTATCATAAAAAGAGCCTCATTCCTCCCATACAACTGCCACTTGCCATCATTCATTCATCACTAAGCACAGCAAACCCCAACTCGCATCTCCACCTGCCTTTTATTTGAAATGTCAATTTTTAAAGAGTGGAGAGGTTGGAGACCCAATTTAACAAGCATGCTGAAACATTGTTTATTGCCCCCATAAACATGGCTTAGTGAGAATTACGGACTTAATCAGAGTGAACTTATCTCCTGGTGAAAAGGAACACTTTAAATTTCAGAAATGGCACCTTCACTGTGAAAATCTCTTAACTTTTCAAACAAACTACAGGGGGTCTCAAACATATGGACAGTAAAGGGGGAGCCATTACTGTGATTTGTCCTGCCTGGGAGCTCAGAAGCCCTAAAGGTTCATAACATGTTAAGATCTAGGAAAAACATTTGGAAAATCATATTCAGGAGACACGTCCATAGAAGCGCCCAAAGGGTCTGCCACATAGAAACACCAACTTGTCTGGATGCTGGAGGCTGCCCAGGACAGACCCCAGAGTCATCAGGAACGGGCTGTTTAATAAGCCACACCACAGGCAGAGCCCATCTTGCCTCCTGTGTATACCAGGAAGCATTCTGCAAGGGAAGAGTCCGGTGACTTGCTTTTCAGAGCAGAGGTGCACTATGAATCCAAAGGCTGCTAAATGGTTCATGTGTGATTGTTTTTCTTTCTTTTTTAAAAAAACATTTCCAGAGGATGAGCTCCTATTAACTCCAACTTCCCAAGCTGTGGTTTCATCAGCACCGCTCTGATCGTTCCAGGAAAGGCCTTCATGAGACACCCCCATCTTGCATAAAATGTATCAGCCTGGCTGCCAGAGGCAGGAAAGGGAGCAGATATAAAATTTTATTATTTCAATGCCCCAGTAGCAGCCAGGAGGACTTAATGAAATTGCCAAGATTTACAATCTGAAACAGCTATTGCACAGACAGATATGGTTAAGAGAGCTGCGCCCTCTGACCTTTCAACCCTTTGATCCTCACGCGGCAGGTGGCCTGGAGCCCCCTCCTGGGCATCTTCCCTCTCTTCCGACACTGCCGAGAACCTTGATGTGCAATAAGCCTGACCCTACACAGGTGACTCTCACAGTGCTGATCACCAGCAGCTGCTGCTAATGGAACAGCCAAAATCACTCAGCCTTGAGATTCTCGCTCAGAGGTGGGGGGAGAGGAATATTCAGTGTCCAAATGGTGCTGAAGGGAGGCTCAAAGATTTGGCCTCAAGTGCAGTTGCTCAGCAGTGTATAATGATGTCACTACCAAGAACTGTTCTTAGAAATGGAACTCTCTTCTCTGATTTATACTTTGAGTTAGTAAAAAAAAAATTTTTTTAAATCACCTTTAAAAACTCAATCACAAATCTAAAAAAATAAAAAATAAAAAAATCAACCCCATGTCCTAAATGTATCTCTCAGAACTTCCCCAAAACCATGTGCAGCAAATTTATACCAACGAAAATCAAAACAATTTTTGGAAACCTAAAATTGACTGTTTTCAGTTTCATGAAATTTCATTTAAAAAACCCCATATGCCAAAATGTCCAAATTCTCTTATTTTTAAAAATTGGGACGACTTCCAAAAATCATAGCTATCTTTTTCTTTCTTTCTTTCCTTCTTTTTTTTTCTCTTCTAAAGCAAGGGATGGGTAATGTGCATATGTACTTATCAAGCTTCATAATTTAACCCATTCGGTCAGTAAAAATATTTGCAGTCAAATGCTGGAGAGGATATAAATTTTTTGTCACTAGCCATTTCAAAACAATTGACTCCTACGCACCAAGGTTTAACAGATATTATATTTGGCTAAGGAGTACCCAGGAGTCTAGGCAGCTCCAGTCCTCCATACCTTTTAGCTTTGGTCAGACAGTGTGGGCTTATGAAGGGGAAAGAATTTCAGGCCAGACATTCTGTGGGGTATTGATAACTCCCCACCCAAAGAAAACTTGAATGCCACTGTTGTTCATACTTAAGGAAGGCCTTGAGTCAATGCCTATATTTCTAAAGATAGAGGGGCCGGGGATTTAGCTCAGTGGTTCCGCCACCTGCCTCGCAAGCACAAGGACCCGAGTTTGATCCCTGGTAACCCCCCCCCCCAAAAGATAGAAATATGTGCAAAGGCCTAAGCTTAGATCATGAATGTTTGAATCCAATGGGCAAAGAAAAAAAATCTATTCCTCTGATAGCCTAAATGGCATAAAATCTTAATATTGACTTTTGATATCAGATGAGAATGAAACAGTATGTAAAGAAAGGTTTATTGACTCCACTTCATATTTTTCTTTAAAGATGTTTAACTTTAGTTTAGCAGGGAAAAAAAGGCATAGTTCCTATACCACAATTTCACTACTTTGTACAAATTATTATTAAACTATCTTCTTGAGATGCCTATTGGAGATATTAATAATACTAGCCAGCACTGAGTAAGGGGCTATAAATATAAATGTGCATGGCACTTTAGCCATATTCTTTCTGTCTTCCTTTTAGGTAGCTATCTCCATCCTGCTGACAGAGATGTGAAGGCTCACACCCACAGTAGCTCAGTGATTTGCCCAAGAGACAACTGGTAGAGCTGGTATTCAAACTTAGGCTCCTGCCTGCTCCAAAGATCCATGCACATTTTCCCCACTAAAAGCAGAACACAAACAAACAAAATGACAGCATGCAGTAATTTGTGCAGAAAATGACGGATTTCAGCTTGCTTACACATTGCCCTGACCCATTTAAAGGCCTTCCGAATCAATTATTTTATGTCATTAAGAGGAAGTTTAATTTGGTCGACAAACACCCCTACTGTGGTGACCTCGAATATCAACAGCAAATGCCTGATGGTCACAAACTGGTACCATGAGTTACTGAGCATGGTGTTAAACAAAACCACATGTGCCCAAATCCCAAGTGGGATTTGCCTAGGCCAAGGGCGCCTCTCTTCAATCATCACTGCTGGTCTCTGAGCTCCCACAAAGACCCCACCCCTAGTCACTTGCAAGGAGTTTATAAAAAGAAGTCACTAGTCCCACGTGGCAAAGCTCAGTTAAAAGTATTTTTAAGTGAACAGTGACTTAGAAAAAAAAATCATTATAAAATAAAAACAGAAGCTGAAGAAGATGGAGTCAATCTCACATTAACGAGTCTTTTAGTTCTATTGAAGAAGAGTATTCCAGTACTATACTCATATAATATTGGAAATCATTTCCCTTTTGGTCCCTACCATGTGATGGGCACCAATCTGAGTGTTTGCATGCAATTTTTCACTTGTTTCTTATTAAAAATTCCCATGGAATGGAAATCTGTCTTACAAGCAAGGAGTATGGTCAGGCTCAACAGGGCACCTTCACACACCCATCTGCAAGATAGGGGCCCCTTTCTGAGGTGGGGACCTTGAGCTGAAATACCATGCAAATGAGTAGACCCTCACTCAATGCCTGAGATCATGGGCATCTCTGAACAGGGAGGTGTGTAAGAAGAGTTTTCTACAAAGTGGACAAACTGATGAAGTAATCATATCTTTCCCCCTCCTACACTCATTTCTCCTTCACATCAAGGAGCTGGTTTCAAAGACCCAAGCCATGGTGGAGGTAAAATTTGAACCCAGAGCCACAGGACTCAGAGCAAGGGCTCCTTCCATTCTGCTGCAGGCATCCTGAAGGATGTCCTTATCTTTATCTGATAGGAATTTGATTCATTTAAGCAATGCTGGTTATCAGTTTGTAAACTTTGAATCTTCTCTGAGATCAGTTTTGACATTGCTAAATGGTACTTATGCCTAATGACAGGCTCATTGATGAGGGGAAAACTGGGAAACAAAAGCATCATCAATGGCCTTACATGGTTCACTGGGATTCCTCTCATAATTACTCAGGTTCTCTAGTGTGTGTCCAAGGTCTAGCACGTTTCACAAGAGAACACTTCAGCCACAACAAATTAGATTGAAAATGGATGGACTCAGCCCTGAAATTCTTGTTCTTTTTGGTTATATAAATTACTCCTAGGGCTTTAAATTATTTTATATTAACTAATCTCAACATCAGGATAAATAACATTTTAGAAATCATACTCATTTTGAAAGCAGATGCCAATGTGATGAGAAGACCTTCCAGGGGAATCTGTCATTAAATGCAGGGCCCTCTTCAGGGCCTGAGGGGAACAGAGTCTGCTTGCTGCACTTGTGCTCTGAATCCTCCCGATGTGGCAGAGGCTCCTATGTGACAACCATGCTGATGGTATGGAGCATGCAATGGAAAATACCAGGCCTAGACTAGCGTACTCAGAGCTGGTCTCTAGAGGAATCTGAGACTGCCAGAAGGAGCTGTTTTTCCCCCTCCTTGCAGTCCCTAGTGCATAGCACTGAGAAAGAAAAGCTCAGGTACAGGTGGGGGCCTCTGCCCAGCATAGGAGTAGGGCCAGACATAATCCACACAGCCACAGGGGACAGTGCACAGAGCAGAGGCTCATCAGCGGAGGGACTGGATGCAAATGATTTTACTTCTCAGGGCCTCAGTGCCTCCATCCACAAGTGTGGGTATTCCCTGCTTTGTATAGTCTGAGCAATGCTCCCAAGCAAAAGCAAGTAAAGGACCCAGCAGAGTGTGTGGCACTAAGAAAGGACTCAGATGTCAGGCTCCTCCCAACCCTCTCCCTGTCCCACCAAAGTTCTCCCCATGAACCTATGCACCAGGAAGGATTTTCTATGTGTGTGTGCAAATATCACCTTCTTATAAAGCAAGGATATGGATTACCTATCCCCAATAAATAAATCTCACATGGAACTCTATCCTTGTGCGCACACATACAAGTCACTATTTATCCCTGAATATGTTTATACCTCAGAGTTTTATATTAGCTGAGCATTAACAAATGTAAATGACATCTTACTTTTTTTTGGTACTGGGGATCGAACTCGGGTCCTTAGCTTGCGAGGCAGGCGGCGGAACCACTGAGCTAAATCCCCGACCCTATGACATCTTACTTCTGTCTACAAGTGCATCCCATGAAGAAGCAAAATGATGCATCGGTAAATGAGAAACACCCTTTTTCACTCATTATAAAACTGTTTAAAAATAAATATCCAAGGGGGACAAGAACAAAGGATTGAAGACTTTCTATGGCAGCGCAAAAATGAAAAGGAAAAAAAAAAAACCCTAGCTAAAATAGTGCTAACTCAATTGACAGAAATTCAGATTCTTTGAAATGCAAAAGAAAAAAAGTCTTACTTTTCTTGTCTATAAATAAATGAATCTTGTTATTTTGTTCAAAGCTCCATAGTTAAACCAGGAACCCTACTGCAGACACAATGTGGCTTCTGCATCCCAGAGACCAAGATGAGCTTTGGCACCTGGATGTTGTCCTCTGAATGGTGGCTCAGTGCTGCTCCAAGCAGTTGGTATATTTGCCAAATCAGATTTCTAGGGGCCCATGACTAAGCATTCCTAGAAAAATGATGGTGAGAAAGGATTGCTGGCAGGCCAACCTGTCTCCCAAAGCACCCATCACAGGTGCTTTGTGATAGCACTGGTGGGGAGAGCCAACTGGGCTCAACCGGCCAGCAACTTGGTACTGGCATCTTACTGGCCCTGTTCCCACTTCCTGGAACTACTGCTTAGTACATGTGTCACATAAGTTTACGCCTTCAAACTGGGGTGGAGAAAGAATATCTGATGTATGAGAGTACTTGAAAACAGAGAGGAGAAGACAATATCTAGTAAAATGGTGCTTAAAACTGCAAAGAAAGCTGTGACTTCAAGTACCTTGGCCACAGCTTGGTGGCAAAGGAACCATTCAGAAGCTTGGGTTGGATATGCTAACACATCTGAATTTTATATACATGGTTTTGATGTGTAATTTCCTTAGGAATTACCTTGATCTTTACAAATACAATTTACTTTATTAACACAGTTAAGCAGTTTCCGAGTATTTTATATGGAAGGACTGTGTTTCTAATGGTCCACAAGGAGAAGGCCTGACCATGTCCTTTCCTATTTACACCCTTCAATGGCTCTCCATTGCCCTATAAAGTTCAAACTCTTTCATGCGGCTTACAAGGCCGTGGATGGCCTGGCCCCTCCTGCCTACCTCTGCATTCTCCTCTCCCTCCAGCTCCACGCTCTTAACAGACATGGAACTCCTCAGACTTCCCGGGAATCCTCCTGGTCTCTACATCAAGGCTTTGCAGAAGTTGTCCCTGTTCTCCTGGTCTTCCTATTTCTTATCTATTAGGATTCAGTTTAGGCATTCTCCTCCCCTGAGAAGCAAAGTCCTCAGCCCTCAGGCTAGGGTTGATGTCTCTCCTTTCAGAGAATACAACAATCCAAATTCACCACAGTTAACTTTCTACTTGTGTGCATCTGCTCCATACTTTCTATCTAAGAAAGTAGATATTATGTTGTACTATTTCATACAGAATTCCTGGTATAATGTAGTGTCTGGACACAAGACTCTTGACACACTGCTATGGGAAGGACTGCATAGTGTCTCTTTACCACATGCCAGATACTAGGATATGCTGGACCTCTATAGGACTCAGCCATTGTGGAGGAAGATAGTACGATCCAGAAAGGCAAAGTATCATGACTGAGGTTAACACAACAAGGGGGGGGGGGTTGGAAGTACATTTATCAAGCCTTACAAAAATGTCATTCCCAACCCTGGTATAGTGCTTCCTGCAATGCAAACCAGGACAAAACAGGGCAGGCACAAACCATCTGTATTGAAACTCTCTTTCCCTAGGGAATGAAGATGATGGCCCTTGGAAACTCAGAGTTCCTAAAACACCACATCAAAGCCATCATTTAGCAATGTAAATGGTTTCAAGGCCACTGAAGAAAAAGAAATAGCAATGACTGCTGATTTTGTGTAACTCTTTATGAGAACTATGCTAGGCATCTGACAAGCCAGTGCTTGTCACTGGATCCTCCCAATGATTCCATAAACACAGTTTGTCCAGTACCCTTAGTTTACAGGTGAGAAAACAGGTGCAGTGAACAATGACCTTGTCTGAGATTGTATGAATGGAAATAAAGCCAGAATCCAGGGCCTATGTTCTAGATGCCATACCTCACTGTCTCAGGATACATGGGAAGCTTCATTTACAAGCTAGCCTGAGCCTCTCTTTGGAACTATGGCATTGCTTTTGCCTTTCCTTTCTCTTTATTGACCATCCTACCACCAGAAGCAATATAAAATGTCTTCTGCATACATCTCTCATGTCACTCTGAAGTCTGTACACAAAGCATTATTTGTGATTCTTGGAAGGAAGGTCATCATTTATCAAATAGAGAAGCATCATCTACCAGAGAAGATCTGGCACCTGCTACCAGATATGGCACAGAAGAGGGACTGCATAAATGTCGCTTGTACTAAATTGAGATCAGTTGAATGAAAGGAAATAGTCACTGTGTAATCTGGCCATGTTTTGGGATTTCCTAGCTGCCAACTAACATGAGCATTCTCTCCAAGAAGAAGCTACGTCTATGCCAATACCCTTGGCTATTCTGCTAACTTGCCACTAACCTCGAATTGCTTAAATGAGAGAAAGAATATCAAAAGGCAGAAGGAGGGAGAAGAATGATGATCAGCTATAGACTTGTCACTTTGGAAGGAAAGTGGACTCTTCATGGTAACAAGGTTACTGTTTAATAAACAACAACAACATTCTGTTCAAGCCTGAAGACTAGAATCAGGTTTTAGCCCAAAATAACCTTTTTTCAAATGAGAATACTAGGTTATAATTTATATTTCTTTTTGTGCAACAAATTTGAGTGTCATAAAAATGGTTAAAAAGTCTTCCTATGGTAGCTTTTTCTAAACTTTTATGAACATCTGCCACATTCGTTTGAAGTTTAAAAAATTCTGGCACATATGCAAAGGCATAATAAGGTGCCTATAGCTTTCAAGAAAAAATAACAAGACAGTCAAAAATAAGCCTTTTGCTGAATTGCCAGTAAGAAAACTAGTGTAGTGAGAGGAGACGGGCCTCCCCGTATTCCTTCCTTAAAGAGATCTCTTTTGGCCACAGGTCTGTACTCCTCCCCAGGCTTTAAAGCCCATGAGGAAGTGTCTCTAGCACTGAAGAGTGTGACAGAGCCAAATAAACACCACTGGCAAGCACAAGTCAGGCCCTCCAATTCTGAGGTGAAACCCAGGGCAAGAGATCAGGAATTTCAACATTTGGTAGTTCATGGCTACCCACTGCACCCAGGAAACACTGGCTTCAAGGGCTGGGTATCTATCATGTTTGTTTTTCTTTGGTGCTGACCACAAAGGATTTTGGCACAGCAAGCTCCTCCTCAACCATAGTCAATAAACAGAGCCAGTATCTACCTTGGCTACCATTTAAAGCCCCACCAATGCTGGACAGAGTAGATCTGTACCCATTCACCTATGTAGAAAACTCTGCTTCAAGTTATAGCTTTAAAAATGTACGCATATTTTACACTGCATATTTTGCTACAAAGGGCCTTACTTTAAGTTACTTACAATCATATACATAGTAAAATATTAATCTCCCTTGTTTTTACATAAAATCATGTCACTAGACTGCCTGAAAATAGTGATGTCTACTGGAAAGCTGCTAAATGTGCTCCCAATTACAGCCCCTCAGCACTCAAGACAGTACCACCTGCCTGGCACCCTGTTAAAGGTGCTGAGGCCACCAGAATGAATGATGTATAGGTCTTTTCCTCAAAGAATTCATGCTCTGGGGAATTACAGACAGGAAGAAGGAACCAAACAGCTAACATTCAGAGCAAGAAGTTCTATAAGTAAAAAAAGATAAAATAGAGGACTTCACGGAAGAACTGGAGAAGAGCAAGGCTTCTCCATGCAGAAGTGTGGGAATGCGGATCTGCTTAGGGATCAGTTGGAGTGCCAGCTAACAAGCACTTTGAAGTGATCAGCAAAAGGCTTGACAGCAGTGGAAAACCCATGCAGAATTCAGAGGCAGTGCAGAGGGAAAGTGGAAGGTGGGACACCTGAAGAAGTGACCAGGTAGGAGTCCATAATGGGATTACGGAATGAATTTTATATTCACTTTTACACCTCGAGGACCTAGCATAATGCCTGGAACATAAGAGGCTCTCCCTTTGCTTATCAAATGAATGGATTAGGCTTTGTAAGAATTCACGTAAGCAAAGAAAAAGTGTCAATGAAGGAACAGAGGAAGGAATGAGGCAAAAGGCATTTCAGAGATTTTGTGAGTATTAAGAATTCAGCCACAGTCATTGTGTCCCACTTTGGTGTCTTTGCAGACAATGGTGCCACTCCTGGGAACTGGGAACACTGGAAGAAGAGTAGAATGGCTGAGTGTATGTGTAGGGGTTATGTGTGTGTACAGCCAAGTGCAGATAAGAAATTGTTTGGGGAAGACTGAGGGAGACATCTAGGTAAAATGCAATTGGTACTTGAAACTTTGGAGCTGATGTTCAGTGGCAGCGCCATGTTAGAATTACAGCTAAGAGTTGTTGACTTTAACTCGGTAGCTGAAGCAAAAACCCTTAGACACGGTGACTAAAGGACATGTACAGAAGAAAAGCAAGCCAAGGCTGGACACTTGGAGAATGCCAAAGACACTGGGACACAAAAAGGTCTAAAAAAGCCTGTGCTGGAGTAGACTGGAAGGCAGGAAGAAGGTAGAAGGGAAGTGCAGGCTCTGATAGACCAAGTCATCTTTAGATTAGTATTTCAAACTCTACAGGAACTGGCACAGAAGATCTATTAGAAAATATTCACTTTTAATTTTTCATATGGAAGCTTTGAGTGGACCTTCTCAAACTTGACAAACAAAGGTAAAACAGAGACAAAATCTCTTTAATCTGATCTAAATACATCATCCAAGATAGTCCATAAACTGTGTACTGTATGTGCTTAGGGCTGGGTGATGACAGGGAGGGACTGTTAACAGAATGTAGGAGCCACATGGCCGTCCTGTCAAATTAGAAATTTGAGCAGATTTCTGTGGTCTATTTTGATCAAGATTTTCAATGTCAAACAAACAGGTTTTTCGATAACCAACTTGTTTCATTTTCGAAAGCACAATAGCACAGTGTGCAACAGTTAGTGGCGAAGCAGGTGGTCCTCGTCGACATGAAATGAAGGGAACAGAAGAGAAGTAGCACTTCCTTTAAGACATGCAAAGTACCGTCACAGACGGGCATGGCTGTAGATTCCCTCTTGAGAGCTTATCTCCTGTGCTAGCCAGGCCAGACACCCACCCCCACTGTTGTGCTCCAGTACACTATCTGCTCTCTCTTGAGGAAGAAGAGGCTTGGGGTTCATGGCTACAGACTAATGGCACTTACAAAAGCACAGAAAAGTCCTTTAAAAGAACTGCTATCTAATTGGTACAGCCATACAGAAGGCAATCTGGCATCAAATTCATAGCTTTGACCAAGCATTTCTACTTTAGGGATTCTATGCTCAGGAAATAAGTCAAAATGCAGATAAAGCCTTATGCATAAAGATGTTCACTGAAATGCTATTATAACAGTGAAAAAATTATGAACAACTTAAGTGTCCAGCAGCAGGAAAATCCCTAAGTTATGGTACATCCAAATAGTTGGAATGACAGGTAGATGACACTGAAAATTATTACTAAAAGTAGATACAGAAACATAAAAATTCTCACGCCATAATATTAAGTGAAATAAAGATATAAATTATATGTGTTCATCACATATCAATTATGTACATTTACATAAAATGCATATGTGCAGAATAAAGACTGGAAAGAACATTAAAATGCTAACAGTGGTTCAACCTGGAATAGTAGTATTGTGGATAATTTTAATATTCTTCTGACCTCTATGTACTATATCACATTTATGGGACATATATTTATGTCACATTTCCTAGAATGAAAATTTGTAATACTGTTATAGTGATTTAGCATAAATATCATGATGAAAACTGAACCACTTCGCTTCCCTTGTTCAAACCCTCATAGAATAATTTCTTTCTGCTTTCTGACCTTCACTCCCTCACCCATGAAAATTCACAATTTCTAAGCAAAGTGGAAAAGCCCTGAAATTAAGAGCCAGTGGAAAGGGTCTAGCCAGAACACTCAGCTTTGCGCACTTGGGACAGAATACACATGAGCTTGTGCTTCAACCCGTTGCTGTATGCAGAGCTGTGCGTCCTGAGACTGTGTCTTTCCACTGCACAAAGCAAAACAAAACCCCAAGTCGAGGGATTGGGGAGGAAAGAAGCCAACTTACCTCCATTAAACTTAAATGGATTCCTATGAGGTAGGGCATGGGAGCACTGTGAAAAGAAACAGAGACACACAGCTGCTTTAATGTCTGTTGCTTCTGACAGAAAATTACAGATGGTTCACTATTTGGAGAAAAACTGTTTTAATAAACGTATGCACAGTTACATTTCCTTTCACAACAAAAATCCTAATATGACATTTTGTTCCCAAGCCTAGAAACTTCTGAAGAATTTAAAAATGCAGTAGCACTGGAAACAGTATGGCTAGTGGGAAGAACATCAACCTTGGTGTCAGTCCGTAAATAGCAGCGATGCAACCTGCACAGCCTCAGTCACTTTATCTTTAAAATGGGAGACTGGACTTGACCTGGCACTTTACTATTAGAATGAGAGGAAACATATATACTCCAAGTGACTAGCAGATTTCCCAATAAAAATGGGAACTATGATTGCCATGATGGTAATGGAAAATGCAGGTGGAAGTCACACAGAGGGCATAATGGGGTTCTAAGGAGAATGATTATTTTTATTTGATGTTTCTTTCTCCCATCAAGAGATAAGACCTAACTGTTCATTCTAATTAAACAAAGTATTTGGAGGGCTGCCAGGAAGCTTCTCCACCCCAGTGGCACACATTCCACGTGATGACACAATTCACAAAGCCTCTGATAACTTCTTCATTCACAGACCAACAGTGACTAACCAAGAGGATGAGAACCCAACTCCAGTAGTTTTAAAGCCTGGGCATTTTGGGTTGACCGATGAATACTTCTTTTGTTTTCTTGACTATCTGTAACACTACCTACCAATGATAAATGTGCTAGTAGTTATATGAAGAACTTTACATTCACCTTTGATAATATATATAACAACCTTTCGAGGTAGGTGTAACCTTCATTTTACAGAGAAGGAAACAGACCAGAGAGGTTAAATTATTTATCTAACAGGACAAAACCAAGTAAGTGATACGGTGGGCTTTCACTCCAAAGTGTATCCATTTCTTCTCTGCTGTCACCGCTGACTTTGTGACATGAAATCTACAATCCCAAGGCCCTCTCTCCATGCCATGCAGTTCCTGGGGGCAGAGGAGGGAGGTCAAGGAGTAGAAAAAATGGAAACAACTGGCAACTTTTCCATTTGTCTCTCCAATACTGGTATATCCTATGAAATGTGCAGAGGGTATTTTTTTATGAACTTAGGAAAGATGATAAATAGCTCAGACTGGAGTGACCAGATACTTTTCCTCTGGACCAGGTAGGGTGTCAAAGTAGATGGACAGGATGACTCTTTGGGGACAAGGTCAGGGAAACAAGGAGGACTGAGTAATGAGGTAGCAGAAGTTCGCTTACAATGCAATACAGTACCAAAGAAAGCAATGGCCAGGCAAAGAAGGTTTTAAACATCAGATTTTTACAAATGCTCAAACATTTAAAAATAAGCAAAGGCACAATTCCCTTATTACCATTCAATAAATAAAATTCCTCAAGCAAAAATCTTTCCCCAGAATATACAATGCCCTCTTTTCTACAAATCTCAGCAGTTACAGATTTCAAGAGCCTGTAAAACAGACTTACTATTAGCAGCACAGTTTGGGAACTACTCTTCTAAAAGACTTGCATTTTTGGTATTTGATAAAAGCCAAAGAAAGAACTATGCATGTAACTGCTGTGAAAGTGGAGTTATCCTTTCTTTTCTTCTGTTTTCATCTCCTCTCTCTTTTTAAGGTATCTGCTGGCCATGTTTAGCTTCTCTTTGCTTCTAGGGGGAAGGAAATGCCCTGTAGTAATTTTTCCCCTTAAACTGTAAACTGTTAGTTTAGCTGCCAGCTACACAAATGCTCCAACTTCCCAGTGTGCCTGGCATTGCTGTCCGAGCTTTTTCCAATGTACACTGAAATGGATGTGTTTCTAATTAAGTAGCTTTAGGAACACGACAGCTTCAATGTCAAAAATACAAAGTCTGAACTTCCCAGCAGGAAGTCTTAAGACTACAAATGTCTCATCTAGTGGAACCTTGCCTAGTGTAATGAAAGGAAGCAGGAAAAGCACAGAATTCCAGGAAAATGGCCACTTAATAATGTGTACAGGAGTGCAGCCTAACACATAGGAGGGAGAAAAGCTCAGGTTGGTAAAATTTGACTAAATTGCATTAACTTTTCCAGCTCTTATATTTAATCACACAATTGACTAGTAATTATCAGTTTTGTTTTGTTTTGGTTTTTTTTTTTTTGGTACGGGAGATTGAACTTGGTAATTATCAGTTTTAATTAGAATTTTAGACCTGAAATTCCAATAAATAAACTGGCCTATGTAAAAAAAGACATTTAAACTATGAGAAAAGGTTAAAACAATACTGATGGTCAAAGCCCTCTGTACAACTTAACCTGAGAGAGAAATATTTTCTAGAATTTTAAATATGCAAGTTTTAATGCTATGCCCTTTTGTCCTGCAATAAAAACCAACAATAACTTGAAAGAAAAAAAAAGGCCCTACAGAATTGACTGCAAATATAAGTCAGGACAAAGTGGAACTCACTCTTTGGGCATCTTTAGGTAGGTAGGTAATTTTTTAAACCCAATAATTTTTCAAAGAGTAATTATGGCCTATCATAGAAATGTAGTTTCTTGGCCACGTATTGTTAGGACTGCAACAGCTCTGTATTTAGAAAATATTTAAAACACATTTATTCTAAAATCATAGCAGCTCCATGTTTTGTATGAATGCAAATTTGGACAAATACCTTTTATATTATGATCATTTGCTTACAAAGCTTCTAAAACTTCCCAGAATCAAAAGCATTTTTGTTCTGAAAATACATAATTACAAATTCTAAGTGGGGGGAGGGAGAGGGAAGAAAAAGAAACCCCAAAGCTTCCTTAACATCTCAGTGTGGCAAGTATGTGACCGGGTAATTTTAGGTATGTTCTGAAAACAATTTATATTCTCAATATACCTCAACAATTATTGTAGCTACTGACTCATTTTCTTGAAAACCTCTCCTGTTTTCTTTGTTTTTTTATTATAAAAAGAAATTGGGGGGGGGATGTACCCATAATTATATCACCTTAACACAACTACTTTTATTTTTGCATTATTGTTTCTAATACTAGCCCATGTTAACAAACAATTCTATATCTTGCAAATTAATTGTATATATTTTATTGTTCTCATTAACATTCTCCATTTTATTCTATAACTTTTGTGATTATTAAAGACTGCATAATATTGCACCAAGTATGGATATGCCACAATTTACTGGACTCTACTCTGACAGTAAGGCTCTTCCAACTTTTCACTAAGATAAGTACCACTCTAATGATAATGAACAGCTTCATGCATGAATTCCCAGACACTAAATTACTAAGTCAAAGGACAGGACATGTTATTTTGTTTCATTTGGGTTTTGAAAAACGTATTATCTTTTTTTTTTTTTTTGGTACCAGGGATCAAACTTGGGTCCTTGCGCTTGCACAGCAGGCGTCGAAACCACTGAGCTAAATCCCTGGCCCTGTATTATCTTTTGTTATAGCCTGGCTAAGTGTTTTCCAAAAGGGCAGTGCCTGTCTAGTTGAGGTTTCACAACTGTGGCAGGGACTGGGGAAAACACATGAGGTGCCTTAGCACAGAAGCAGTGCCTGGTAGGCATTTAGTAAGTTGATTTAGTCAAGTTCAAATGGATTTTCTCCAAGCCCCTGGCATGGCTGGTATGATTAGACCCACTCTCTTCTCACTCAGAGAGTGGGTTCTTGCTCCAGTCTTGGCTGTGAAGGACTCCTGACAAACCACTGAGGAGGATGGTCAAGACTCCATGAGGGATGAGAGATGCACGACATGGATCACTTTTCTCTTCATGGGTTTCTAACCCCCAAGCCAACTCTGTCAGCAGTATATACCCTGAATTCAGCAGAGTCGCATGTCACTTTCATGTAAAGGGCACCTTTCCTCTTTATTTTAATGCATCATGAAGGAAACAATGATTTGTTGCTTTCTGACCACTTACAATGACAAATTTAAAAAAATGTTTTATCTCTCTTGGCTATACATTAAAAAGGAAAATATGGCAAAATAATTTGAATATGCCACTCCTAAAAACTTCACATTAAGAGTCTGACTTATCTGAATAATTTTGTGTTTCAGATCATCAATGTCCACATTTTTCCAAGGGTAAATGAGTAACAAAACAATAAAAATTCATCTACTAGAACCTATCTTCTTTTAGGTTTGAGAAAGAAGTTGTTTGTTGCTCTTATAGAAAATATGAATGCAAATATACTTACTTAACTAAAAGCAAATGTATACCCAGCTTCTCGGGTTGGTGCCTTTCAGCATTCAGTGACTTTAAATTTCAATGCTGAATCACAGTGCAACTCTGAAGACATTTTAAATGGAAATTAAACACAACTCAGGCAGAATCAACAACACACTTAATCAAATTAAAGCAATGTTATTATTAACAGCTATGACTAAATTCATGCATAAAGAGGCCATGACAATTGTGTCACAACTGCTGTGTGGCTGACAGCGATTGCAGGATGCCATTGTGTATCTCTGAATAGCAGAATAGGGATAATCTGTACTAGGCCTTTGTACTAGGAATCATTGCAATATCTGACTATCTCAGTGACATCCTGGGAGAGTAAAAGCTACTCTTTCTTCTTTCTCCCTGGCAAAGGAAAGGGTTTCTTTTGCTGTTGTCAAGGTAGTGATGAGACAATGACCTTTACCTGAAAGGTATCTTTATTTTGAATACTAAGGGAAAAAGAAATTACTATTATCGAGTGACTCAGTCACTTTTATGCATTTCATACATAATTCTGAAATCAACTCTGCAAAGTAGTGCTACTATCCACATTTTCAGGCGGGGAAACAGTCCCAGAAAGGTGAAGTGACTTGCCCAAGGCCATACAGCTAGCCAGTGGTGAAGCAAAAGAAGGGGAGAAAGAACAAGAACTTCAAATTCAGAGCTGCTGATCTATGAGCTCAGGCTTGCCTATAATGTTACACAGCACATAATCGGTATGAAGCCAAAAGGAAGACTGCTGGTGTACGAGA